CACACACACACACACACACACACACACACACACANATATATATATATATATATATTAGTATATATATATATATGTAGTATATATATATATGTATATATATATATATATATATATGTGTGTGTGTGTTTATATGTGCGTGTATGTTTGCGTGTATGTGTGTGTGCGTGTATGTGTGTGTATGTGTGCGTGTGTATGTGTGTATGCATATGTATATGTATATTGAGCTTATATCGATAATCAATATCCTCTTGAAAGGAATTGAGGCTAGACGTGCGAGGAGTTCATGTGGAATCGTGGGATCAGATTCTCTTTGCCTCTTCGAACCCATGGCGTCGTTGAAATTGTATCCCTTTTCTGCGTATTAGCTGTCTGCCTCTATATACTTATCTTGAGAAAAAAAAGTTTAGTAAGGATATTGTATATATCTGTGAGCTTGTGAATGCTCTGTTTATTGTCATGACAGTACACGTTTATTTTATTTTCGCTCTTCGTCGCTGCATTTTCACAATGGCTCTGGTTATGCTTTCCCGTGAAGCTCAGCCGGGGTGTACGTACATACTGAGCGCATTGGGTCTCTTCATTGGGTGTTCCAGATGAGAGTAGGCTGAAAGTGGCCGTTCATCAGTCACTGTACCACGAATTTACCTTCCGCCGTTTGTAATTCACACTTGCTTGTTACTTTGTTGCGTTTAAATGATAACAGCTCATGAAGATTTGGAAAAATATTACACCTTCCCAATGGCTTTCTTTTTGGCTGGGATAGGATACGGGATCATATACTTCTGCGAAGATGTCATCCTGGTAGAGATAGTAAACCGGTATGTACCCTTGCTGTTGTACAATCGATTTCGCATACCCGGTTATGCGCACATTAATTAGTCGTGGTGTGCAAATTTTAAATGGCTCACACTTAAATTGTGATTCGCAATGTGTTTAGCGACACCATTCAATAGTTCTGCCTCAGATTTATACCAACTTCGATTCAACTATTGCATCATACGGCTTCATATGGTGTGTGCAGATACTCATCGGTACTCAAGGACGCCAGTTATGAGGTACACAGTCACGGGCCAACCCAGAGGCAATCGCATGCTAATACTCATTCACACCACGAGTCTGAATTGTGCCATACGCATTCCAACCCACACGGTGGACATGGTAAGTAGTTCATTGTTTGTACCACAGTCATGCACAGTATATCGCGACATCGACTTTGCGCAGCGTCCCACATCTTAGGATAAGGTTGCACATTCTCTGACATTTGGCATGTACACTGCGTGGTGATCTTATGCTTCGCTGCCGAAAGAGTGGTCTCAAATCTTTGCTCGTTTATGTCGTTGCACATGCAGCTCATCGCATGTCACTAGCTGGCGCTCGCAGTTACGGATCACTTCAAGAACACCACCATGAGCACCATATGCATCAGTACGGGCCTAGTGAAACTCGGATCCCAGAGGAAGACGAACTCTTAGGACACCCGGCCAAGTCAGCGGATTCCGCTGCAGACGATCTGGTGTGTTATTGTTCTTTGTTCTCTTCGTCATGCAGTTCGTATAGACAAACACGACTACATCCATGTCTATAAATCACTATTAACGCTTTGTGAATCGTCTATTCGTGCCGGACAGTCGACTCTCCCGGCCGAAAGCTTCTTGTATATTACTGTTTTTGCCGATCGACTGTTTATTTTTATCAAACGCGGAACCACGACATTGCAAGATGGTTCAGAGTATTCATTGATTGCATAAACAAACAAACATATATTTTTTCTATTTAAAAAGCAAGTTTGAGGCCGATTTCTCATTTGATGTTCAAATTTCTTGCATTATTAATTACAGAATGAAATGAGGTCGACATTCGTCGCCTTCGCTCTGCAGTTGGTGCTCTCTGTGCATGCCGTTTTTGAAGGTATGTGCGTGGTAATTCGTCTAAATTGCCGGTCGAATATTCAAGGAACTCGACCACCATAAAAGAGGATGCTTTCAGCGATGTCGACTGTCCTTCCCCATTGCCAGAACGTAGAATTTAAATCGAAACTTCTTTCGATCCAGGACCGAAGACTTTAAATAACAGGCCTTTTTCTTCGAACATCAAATTCATCATACAGGTCTTGCTATGGGAGCGTCAACTACATCGGAAAACATGCTGGCAGTTCTGTTGGCAATCTTAGCACATAAGGGCGTAGAGGCCTTTGTGATCGGATCAGCCTTCTTGAAATCAACGCTATCAAAGCGAAATATCTTTTTCCTGATGCTTCTGTTTGCTTTGGCCACTCCTGCTGGTGTAATGATTGGAGGCATTGCAGGTCAAGAAGGCGCCGATGTTGCGAAAATTAGGTATGGAATTTTAGTACACGTTTCTGCTAGTTTATAAGTATGGTTGCCTTTCACGTTTTACAGTGAAGGGTGGTACCTGATGCTATAAGGATATGCGATGTTAGAACAAAATACCTGAAAGGGGCTGTGCATATATGTTTAATACAGAATTCTAATTCATTTCACCATCGTCGATTGAAGGTCTCAGCGCCACCATAAGCACCAACTGGATCATAGACTGATTATACGTGAGCGTATCGGCAAATTGTTCGTTGTATTATTTTCAAGGCATTGCATTTTCAAGGTAAATCTGACGTATTCATAACACCTCACACTTTCATAGGGGAATTTTGGTGTCGTTGTCGGCGGGGAGTTTCATCTACGTTGGTTCGCTTCTGCTCGAGGATGACGACCATGTCGGAGACTGTCATGACCTTAAGAAGGCCGGGAGCAAAACCCGATTCTTCCTCTGGTCGGTTGGATTCGGGGTTTTCGCTCTCTACTCGTATTTGAAAGGCGGATGTCACCATTGAACTTAGCAACATCGTATTAGGAATCCCGGACCGATCCGTTCGAAGGCAGCGGGTTATGGGCGCCAGCATGGGACAAGAATGTGGTGTAGCTTAGTCGTATGTACATATAAAAAATTAGATACCACACTGCTTGTGCTGCTTGTGACTAACTAGCATTCGCAGCTATATAAACGTATACATCACAAGCTCAAAATGAGCACATTGCCGAAATGTCGCACTCTTTAACTATGTACGATACTTCAACTATGAGATCTGGTATGGTAGATACTTTCTATACTCTTGAGCATGTGGCGTGACTTGCAACAATGTACTTCGTACTCTCAATACTTGAAAGGCTATATACTTGTACGATATCCGGCCCGCAACAAGCAAGCGGTACTATAATAGATGTGGAATGCAAAGTTCCTATTGCTCACGCAAAAGAAAGGTCGACAAAATGCTATTTCGATTATTCCTATTTTTTAAAAGACATGGCAGCTATGAATTATTTCTTATTATCATTTTATTTTGCGCACTATTCTATTTTAAGCGCTTCGATGTGTACATGATTTCGCCCTTGGCCTTTTTCGCTTTGTACGATCTCTGTTGCCAGCTACTTCGTTTGAGCTTCATGGGACGGTTCCCACAGTATTTTCCTGTATATATAATATACAAGTACATTGGCTACGTTTTAGTGCCTTTGTTGCTTGTGAGCTCAGTAATGGAAAAAGTGTTCGGATGTGTTTCGATGGCCGATACATAATTTTCCAACTTTGAAGGTAGGATCGCCATTTAGAAATCCTGGGTGGCAATAAAACTTCACCTTTACATAGACGTCGCAAGTGTGGTAAAACATACTTTGTATAATTGTAATCCTCAGCACAAACGAAGAAATTGGACTACTAACAGGACCGAAACCTACCCAAAGCGCAAGGTATAAAACCAAGAAAAAGCTGGACTACACTATACTCTCATCAGAATACACATACCATTCATCTCCTTCATGGCGCGTGCGTAGTCCCCCACCTCTCTGAAACTCACGAATCCGTAGCCCCTGTTCTTCCCCGTCCTGAAGATGATTACAGTCAAGTTCAATTAGCAACACTATGCGAAAGGAGTTGTCATAACAGGCAGCAACTTTCAAATTATTCGAGCCTCGTGTGCATAAGCGTATTCATACACAACACGCCCCAGCTCTGGACCATGAAACAGTAAAGCAGAATATCAACAACGGCACTTGTCCCCAGTGACTGCTTGCACTTTCTCATTTCGGGATCTACATGCACTTGTCTATCTCTACCACAAATGTCACCTGTTTTGAACTATATACTACCGATACATACTACGAAAATGATACACACTACGACTTGCAAACTAAAGAGGGAAGAGCACATACTTAGTATCAGCGACCACTCGCGCCTTCTGGAAACTCGCGAAGTGACTAAAAGACCTTTTCAACATCTCATCACTGGCATCGTTGCCCAGGTCACCCACAAATATCACATAGTCATCTTTATCCCATTCAGCGAGTTTCGAGTCGTTCCAGGTCCTACAGGTAGCACAAGAGCCAGAAAAAAGGGTTGATGTGTCGGGTCAAATATTTTCTGGAATGTGCTAGCATAAGACGATGGATACACCTCGTATTATACGAGCGAGTGAACACGCAACCGTCCTACCACAGTGTAAACAAAACAAATGAAAACAGCAGTGTTCAGCGTTCACACTAGCACGTATGACGAGCAAGTTGTTGTCAAATTTTGCGTAGTGACAGTACTTAGCTTGCATGGTTAAGTAGAGCAGCAGAGAAATCTTACGCGCCACTCTGTGATGACCAATACCAATACATTGAACTGAATCTGCACCGCTTAAAAAGTTCACTTATGAAAGCGCAGTATGAGTTCACAGCAACATCTACAAACGAGACAGATAGGGGCTAACATGTCGAGCGTTCACTCCATTTACCTTCCACCAGCGTGTCTGATGGCCAGCTTCTTTTTCTCTTCTTGTTGTGCTGCTTCCTCCTCCTCTTGCGCAGCCAGAACTGTTGCGACAGAAAGAAACAATGGGCGCTGATGAGCAAAGATAGTAGTAACATCTCTTCGGCATATTCCAAATACGAGTGCGTAGCGAGCGATGTGGATACAATGCTTGATAAATACGACCTGAACGCATGCAACAAAGCGACCCTATGACGAATGAACATATGAGCAACTACCCCAGATATCAAAATTAGAAACGGACGAAAGATTTTTGAAACTGGAAAACAAGAGATGCTGAGTCACACCTTCTTCCTCTGTAGGCATAGGTCCATACGAAGGAGTCTGTGGCCCAGCATATGCGGGCAGTTGTGGTCCAGCCATTGGCAATTGGGGCCCAGTCATTGGCATTTGGGGTCCAGCAAACGATGGCATTTGAGGGCCCGCGTAACCGGCGTTAGTAGGTTTATCTACCGCTTTCTCAGTTGATCTGGTTGTAGCGTCTGTTTCTTTTACATTCTTGGAGTCGTCTTCATCTGACGCTACGATGTAATTGTGCAACAATAAAACCCCAGATAATGGTAAAAAGGGAGGACACAAAATAAGAAAACAGAAAAATCATCTCAATAACAAGGAGTTGCGCCCTGTGTGCAGTCGAATCAATTATTGTCGGAGATGAAATATTTGTACAATACAACCCCACAGCTATATATATAAATACATATGTATATGTATATGTATATATATATATATATATATATATATATAATATATTATAATATATATATGTA